GAGTTAGCCGTAGGGGGAGTTTCTTGACCCTTGTGTTTTTGGGTTGGGGGTTGGAGCCTCTTCAATTCTCCGCTTTGGAGTCGGTGGGTGGCGAAGGTTCTGGGTGCTTGTCCGGTTGGCGGGGAGGGCGTGCTTTTTAGTAGTCTTTTTTGTTTGTTTTGTTTTGTTGTGTGTCTTTTGTTTTCTGTGGTTAGTAGTGTGTTTTTGTTCTGTGTTTTACCAGCTTGGGCTTGTAGTATTCTCCTGTTGGGAGTAGTGTTTATTCTCTTGTTGGGAGCATGTGTGTTTTTAGGTTTTGTGTGCTGTAGTTGGGTTGGTTCTAGGCTCCCTCGGGCTTTCTGTCTATGGGGTCTGTCCTCCCAGCTAGATTCAGCTAAATATAGTTGACTTATTCGGCTATTTAATTGTCTTATAGTTTGTAATTATGTGTTTTTTTTTTTTTCATTTAATGAAAGTCTATCGTTTCGAAAAAAATAATATTACAATGATATCATTTGTAGTTTGAATGACATTTTTTTTTTAAATTAAGTACTTTCAAGATTTTATAATTTAAGTGGAATCTTCATAAAATTAAGGATCATGAATCCCTAAAAACATTTACAAATTCTACTTAATTTCTATTTTTTTTTCTAATGCATAATTTTAACATTTTAACTCAACTACTTTTTTTTTAACCCAACTCTACTATTATCAATATTATCAATGTAATTAAATAATATCAATCAATCATTCATACACACCACATCAACTTTAATTCACTGTTCATCCACCCACATTATTTTAACTAACAATCACTTCAAATCATCTATTTTTTACTCTTACATCAAATCAATTTTAACTATTTTATTTTAAATATTATTTTAATATACCCACTAACAACAAACCATACCACCATTTTCAAAATTAACCAAATAAAACCAAAAAATCCAACAAAAATAAAAAAATTTATATCCAAACATGCTCTAACTAAGTCTGTTATATTCTATCATTTAATTCCTACTATTAAAATAAAACATAATAAATTATAAAACATAAAGTAATTAAAAAAGTCACATCACCTCACAACAAGCATTGTTATAATTTTTTTTTTATTATTATTATTTTTGTCTTTTTCACACAACACAAACTTTCTCCCCTTGGTCACTTTCCCCTTTCTGCTTCCATTTTTTATCCTTGCAAGTTCAGCTCTCCGACGACAAGACTGCAACGAAATACGTGATTGGACGATGGACGAACATCAAATTTCATCTTCCTCCGATAAAAATATCATCTTTTTTCTGCGATATTTAGCTGGTTTTCGGCAAAAAATTGAGGTGGTAAGTAAGGTATGTATTATATGAGCACTGTGGAGTCTAAAAATTGTCTTGAAATCATAATTCTTTGGTTAATTTGTTAATGATTCAATTTGTAGCGACCTGTGAATACCTTGTTATGTATAAGTCACGAATTGAATAATCAACAATATACCTATGCACAACAGATCTAGAGGTTCAAAGTTGAAAACTTACGGCTTAAAAATTGCAGACTCAGAAAACATTGTAGATTTTCGTTGTTGGAGATCGCCTGAACTCTACGAATCCATTGAACAACCGAATTCAAGCTTCGTAGGATGTCACGGGTTGTCAGGATCGTCACGCGGTTGCGTCGGGTCGCAACTTGCGGGTCGCGGTCGCCCGGGGAGGATGCATGATGAGCTCGTTGGATGCATTCGGGTGTGACAGGTCGCTGGTTGCGTGCTGGCCGTGCGAGGTGGTCGGTGGGATGCATCTCGACTAATCGCTGCACGTGGCCTGGTCGCGGCTAGTCTTTGGGGTCTCAATTACCTCGGCGGTTTATGCTATATTACACACAAATCGATAATCAACGGATTACACTTGATAACTTTTATTAGCCTAGACTAAAAAGGGAATCAAATGGGATAAAGCACAACAAGTGTTACCCTACACGACGTACAACGATTCACAGGTCCAAAATCAACAAAAACGCCCACACTTATGAGACTATAAAACTCCACGAGGGAGAATAGTACACTCCACAAAGGGAGGCTATGAAGAACGCACTCCCAAATAATGGAGAGAGAAACAAAACACACACACTAACAAGAACACAAAATAAAAAACTTAATATCTAGGCTAAAGCCCTTGTCACCAACGACCAAACTCGCTTAGAGACCTCATGCAAGACAATACTCAAGATGACTACCCAATAAGGATCAAATCCCGGCCCAAAGTCTAAAAACTCCGCTATTGGCTATCGAGACCTAGACCAAAGGTAAAACCCTAACCAGGAGGCCACCCTCAGACCAGTACGAACAATGCCGAGCCCAAATCCCCAGACCGACCGACGACAACAGCTTGCCACGAAAACACGCCACCGCCGCCACTGCCACTGGTTGCCTTTGTTAGCCAAACACTAGGGCCAAATAGGGGCAAAAGGGAGGAACTGTAGAGAGCCAGCCACGAGCTCCGACCATCACCATCCAGCCGAGCGTCCGCCGCTAAAGCCGCCCGAAATCCGATTCTACCACCCTTGCCATGGCCTGCCGAGAGGAAATTAGGGAAATCCCACGCGAGGCTTGAAGCAGCGAACCTCGGAGCAACGACTTGAGTTGGTACCACCTCGGGCCTTGGCTCCCACCGAAGGGAGGAGAGCCGCCGCTAGCGAAGAGGCTTGCCGAAAGAGAGAGTCGAGGTCGCCTTCGAAATTAGGAATTTGAGAATTTAGGTTTTTAGAGAGAAAGCTTTAGAGCGTTGGGATCAATATGAATTGAGTTGGGATCACACTTAGGGTGTGTTTGTTTATAAGTTATTTTATCTCATACTCAATTCATACTTAAAATCTAACTCAACTTTAATTCAACCACACTATTTTCAATATTATCAATATAATTAAAAATAATACCAGCTAATCATTCTTACATATCACATCAATTTTAATTCACTATTCATTCACTTACATAATTTTAATTAACCATCACTTCATATCATATCTCTCATACTTTTACATTAAATCAACTTTAATTATTTTAATTTGAATATTATTTTAGTATAAACTCAAAATTCCACTAAGAACTTACTTTACCAAATTTTAAAAAATTAACCATACTTGACAAAAAAACTTATTTTGAGCAGATATACTTGTATACAAACTCGCCCTAAAATTTGAGAGAGAGTATAATCCCCTCTATATATAATTTCAGAATGCGCTGAGCCTACGTGGCAAACTCTCATGCTTCGGAATCATATTTGACAAAAAATTATGCTTTGGAGTTAGGCTTGGATATAAATTAATATTTGTATTAATTGTATTTCAATATCATTTACTATTATTACCATTGAATTGCAAATATATTTTAAAAGTTGATAACTTTTGTATTTCTTATCAGTTTTACATATATAATATATCAAATTAATTATTTTTTTGATGAGCTTCGATTTGACATCTATATTGTATATATAAAATAAATAAATTATATTTATCTTTATAATAATAATAGAATTATTTATTAAAATTAATTAGAAAATAAAATTATTTATCAATTAATATATTTATGTTTAATGTAGTTATATATTATAAGGTAGAAAATTTAATTATTATAACACATATCCCTCATTAATATAATTTCAAAACGTGCTGAGCCTAAATGGCTGGTTCGCACGCTTCGGAAGCTTACTTGGCAACATTACATGTTTTGACTTTTGATTCGGATAAAAATAATACAATTATATTCCAAAATAAACAGGACCCTAACTCCAAATAGGATTCTCATTCTTATCATAGTTTATTTTAATTCCTTCAAAAGTTTTTTTTAATCACTTATTCTTATCCAAAATTCACATATGTAATACACGGATCTAAACTATCACCGCCTGTTTAAATATATATATAAAAAAAAATCGAACTTTAAAGGTTGTTGCATATTTCTTATTCTTATTATGTCGTGTATAATAAATTTGAAATGCCGTGTATTTTGCTTAATCCTACTATTATATGAGCCGTGTAGGATAAAGTGTTTCAAATGTTAAGAATCATATTATGCCGTGTATTTTGCTTAATCCGAAATCGGTTTGACAAAGTTCTCTACATTATTTAAATCACCATCCCCCTTCATTCTCATAGCCCCTTCATCTCAATTATTCATCTTACAAAAATTGAATTTACCATGACAACTGTTTTCAACACAATTGAGCGTTATGGTTCAAACATGACAAGAACCACCTGAAAATCGTGTTGTAATGGAGATTTGTGTCTTAGACAAAAAAGTTACACGATGGTTTCAATTCAGCACCTTATCCTTCGTATGCCCCTTCTGATTATTATCATATGAGCTATATGTATTATAATTCGAGTTATTTTATTACATCAATTATTGTCAGTATATATATATATATGTATATATAAATTATTATTATTGCCTCTCCTTGAATTGTAATTTGTTTGTGTTGGTTCTGGCCATGTCAACAATGCATTTTATCCTCTGCGTTATGTTTAAGAAATTTCTAGAAAATCCTTAATTTGGTATGACTGGTTATGCTTATAGAGTTAGATTTGTTTTCCCCTGTAGATATACAAGATGATCAAATATAGTCTTTTGTTTTGCATTTATCTCAACAGTCAATTTTCTTTTCACTAATCCAGCAAGCCTGAAAAAATATTTAAACCAAATACCCATGTAAATACACGGGTGTTGAATTAGGAAGCATATGTAAAAAATATTAATTTTTTTAAACTAAAATAATTTAATTTAATAGAAAATATTACTTTAGGTTTTCATTAATTTGTCAAATTATATAGAGCCTGAATATTTTTGTTTTCTATTTTTGTACTTTTATACGACAATAGGTGCTTTTTCTATTATTTATTGTTTTATATTTTTTTTCAAACAACCCGTGTAGTACACGAGTGTTGTACTAGTTTCAATATTAAAAGTGAATTTTTCTCAAAAGTAAAATTGAATAATAACGGTGCGTGACGCGAGTCAATAATTATAAGACAATAAAGCAGTCCTCACAAGGGTCTAATTTCTTTCCCGTTTTGCTGAAGTGGATGATCACACATCTCCACAGCCCTAACCCTTGAGTGGAAATCCTTCTTTCGATCTTCCTATCGGACCACTTTCTCATTCTTTCGGTTTGTAGGTTTTTTTTCGGAGGATCTGCTGAATTTTTGCGAACCGGCGCTTGTGTATGGAGTCCGAGGACGATATGCACGACGCCAACGAGGTAGCGTCAGTGGAAGAAGAGGATGACTATTATAGCGGCGGCGAAGAAGAGGATATGGATGCGGAGGGAGATGATGAGGAAGACTACGGCTACAGCTATGACTATGCTAATGAGGAAGACGACGATACCGGAGATTACGACTTTGTAGCCAATTACTCAGACGACGATGACGATACTCTCCACAGTCGGTCACAGGTATACCATGAACTTGGTTTTATTACCTTTATTTACTCTATTTATGCAAAAGACTGAGTAGTTTGACTTTATTATGCTGAAATTTGATATTTTCTTTTAGATTGAGTTTGATTTGCGCTGAAAGTAAAGTTTTTTTCTTATGAATTTGTTTTTGTAGATGGTTCAATAATTGATATGTGCATTATGTATTCTTATTCTTCTTTGGTGTTAATTATGTCTAAATTGGAATTTCTGTGTCTTCTGTTTTTCATTGGTGGTGTTTTAATAATTATCAACTGAATACAACATGAATAATGATATATATCGTTCTGATGGATGGTTACTGATTAGGATATCATTTTTCTTTTTGGCCCATCAGATTAAATTGCTTTGGAATTTGGACTGATCAGATTTGCAATAATTCTTGAAAAGAGTTGGAACTAAGAAAAATGAGCAAAATTTCTGTTGTGATATCATTGGAAAGTACATTTGTTTGAAAAACCCTTCTATTGTTTCTTTCTCTCTTTTTATTTGATGTTGTACGTTCATATATTCTGCAGAAGAGCTATACCATTTTAAAGGAAGAAGATATACAGCAACGTCAAGAAGAAGACATTACCAAAATTGCTACTGTCCTTTCAATTCCAAGGGCAGCCGCATGCATACTATTGCAACGTTATAACTGGTAACCTTGGTACCCCATTTTTGAGATCTGGGTCTCAATGAGATTTATACATTGTATTGTTCCGTCTTGTGTTGAGCCCGCTTTATTTGATATCGAACTTGTATATATGAAATTTAAGTTCGTGTCAAGTGAATAATGCGGTGAGGTCATTCTTATCTTCATTCTTCTACTGCTTTTTTTTTTAATGAGATATTTTGAAATAATTTCACATTCTCTTTTACATAGTTAATTGTTTATGCAGGAGTGTGAATAATGTTCATGAGGAATGGTTTGCTAACGAAGAAGCTGTTCGTAAAGCTGTTGGTTTATTAGAGAAACCACTTGTCAAGTATCAAAGTTTTACTGAAGTAAGTTACCTGTGCATAGACTCCCTTGTGTTTTTTCCATTCATGAATGTACTTCCCTCGTCTTTGTTCGTTGTAACATATTTCCTATCTAGCAGGTTGCCTGTGGAATTTGTTTTGAGAACTACCCTTGCAATAGTCTACGTGCAGCTGCATGTGTTCATCTTTTCTGTGATGTGTGCTGGAAAGGTTCGTCTAGCCACTGCATACTGTGACTTTCATTTTGAAAAAGAAAAAAGCTGACTCACAACTTTATTCTTTATAGCTTCTATTCGTGACTTGTGTTCAATCTTATATGGAGAATCTACCTTAACTAGAAATAGTATTCCTGTGAAAAGCAGTTTTCCTCTTCTCTGTTGCGATGGCTAGGAGGTCTTGTGGTTTCCTACTTTCTGTCATTTTGCTTCTGTTGGGAGCTAAGATTAGTGAGGACTAGGGGTATCAGGGGGTGGGGGTGGTAGGAGGAGGATCAAATGCATATTTTCTTCAGCGGCCAAAGTCATTGTCTTGAACCTTCAAGTTCAATGTATTTTGTACCAGCCTTCGTGATTGAGCAACGGCCAAGTGCATCTGTTGGTTATATCATGAGCAAATTCATGAGGCAGAGTTTGCTAATATGTTATCGACAAGCTAATTTGATTAGTCTGACTTATAAACATTATACATAAACTTTCACTTATTAATTTTAAAACCAGTTTTTGTGTTTTATTATTTTATGTCACATTCTTTGATAATCTGTGCATTCATGACCAGACATTAGATGGTCAGTATTAATACACATGCTGTGATACTTTACTCTGGAAACATGTCCCAAAATTCTGAGTCGTGATACTAGGGATTCAAGAATAGAGAGAATCAAATTCATTTGTAATCACTGGTTTGTGAATCATTATTATTGCAGGTGAAGAATAAGTTAACCGAGATTCCAAACTGAACAAAATGTAAGTAGGGAGGATAGTTTTACAAATTAGTAATTATGGTAGGCTTAAAGAAGGGAATCTTGTGAGTGCACAATCTTGATGTAATGTCTGATGTGTTCTGTATGTATGGAGGTTCTTGTTTGTGACCTAAAGATTCTGTCAGACATGAATAAATTGGACGATTGTCTAGTTCCTAGTCCCCGCATGGTTCATGATTTGGGATTGGGAGTTGATCTAGGACGCGTGATTAAGAAACATTCCACTCTTTGAATTACATTTATAGTCATTAAACTTTAACGCGTGCATGTTATTTGATGTTAATGAATACAGATTGTTTTGAACAAGTTTGATGTTATAGTAGTTATGCAAGCTAGGGTACTATCAAATCCCTTTTGCATATCTGATTCATTTTAGTATTTGAGTTTAATTGTGATCGTAAGTGGATTTTATGTGTGTGTTTTTTGCTCTTACTATATCATGCATATAAATTTCGAAGAAGTTGCTGAATGCAGAATCCCCCTCTACTATGTGTTTTCTCTTCAATGGAGTTCCTTGTATTTCCATTACAAAGCAATTTACTGACAGGAATTAAAGCAATGATATCATCAAATTTCTAGTCGTATTTCATCATTCATTTTTCAACAATTTGCTAGAACTTATATTTAAGATAATGTCATTGAAAATGAAGATATATAATAATGAGTTGTGGTTATTGTTTATATAGATCTCACTTCTTAATTGTATCCTCTCTCACTCTTAAGTCTATTTCCTTTTTAGTTTACCATTTTGTTAGTATGACTTTGATTAAGAGTTTGATTTGCTTTCACAGCCATTATCTTAAATATGATACCTTCTGTTAAATATCACTGATCTTTTCTATAATCTTATTTTATTTAAACTTTTATGTTTAAATATTTAGGTTTTGTTAGAATTGTTCTATCCGCAAACCCTTGATGATCTCCTTGAGGACATCACAGCATCCTATTCAATTCCTTGTTGGCTGATAATGATTTTAGAAATTCAATTGCAGTGACATGACCATTTTCCTCACTGGACCATTTTTGTATGTTCTATGTAGATTTGAAATCATCTATGTGATTAGAAAAGATATGTTGTATTGATTTTTGCAGAAGACAGTAAATCTGTAATGCTGACAATGATAGACAATTTAAATCCATCATTGCGACTGATCGTGCGATCCCTCTGTCATTTGATTTTGCAGTAGTATGTAACTTTATCAATTCAAAAGAGCTAAAGGGCATGGTTTATAAAATAGCAATCTTTCTGGAGAAATGTCATTGAATTATCTTTTTTAACAAAACACTCAAAGTGTACCGTCTCTACTTCATTATGGAGATTCAACTCCCCATATCATCACCTGAAGCATTTTATACATCTTTATATGAATCAGAAAGTTATTAACTGGGATGTGTCTGTTTACTTACACGTGACTACTTATTATACTTAAAAATTTGAATTTCTCTCGTGCTACTTTTCTAGTGATGAAAACCCATTAGCCCTGACCAAGCTGTGACCTTATTGTGGTAAAGCAATGTATAATCATTAAGAAACTGAACACTGCATGGATTGACATATTTTACATATTCGAATAAACCATTTATTGTATTTTGAAAGACTCCCCATGAAGGCTTCTTTGGCCTCCACCTCCTTATGTTACACAGTTCTTGGACTTGACCATAGTTATTAAGCTGATTCTCCTATGTACTAAGGTATAAGGTAACAATGTGGTGCGGTAGTCATTGATACAGTCCAGGTGTGATATTTTCCTCATAAGCAATTCTAGTTTTAGTGGCTGCCACTGTTTTCAATTCTCACGGTTAAAGGCTATATTTAACTTTCAAGGTCTACTGTACGAGAAACATACTATGAATCTTGTTGCTTCTGCTCCTCCTCTCCATTCCCTTATGGGATCTCAATTGAACTTGCTGTGATCATTGCTTATGCTGTGTTTTTTGTTACATCAGCTTTTAGCAAAAGAACTACCAATTGCATTCCTATTATCTTTTACAAAGTATCATTTAATAGTCAACCTCTTCAAACAAAAGATATAATGTTTGCAAGACCTTTCTAGTGGAATGGCTTATATATATTTCCAGTAGTCACAAAATGCTGGACCATTATTGAGCAGTTGTTTGTGCCAATTTCTATCAGAAAATACTAAAATGGGTTTAATATTTCAATCTATTTATTGTAATTGGTAACTGATGTGTAATTGATCTGATTTATGGGCTTCTCCAGAAAGTATTTAAACTAATTTCTTTGGTTTATAAATTGGGAATTTTTAAAAGAGGTGATTTCTTGAGTGTTTTTTTCCTTCCTCTTGAAAAAACTGCCCTTAGATGGACTTTATATCCGTGTCCGTGATTGTAGTTGGGGGAAAT